TTTAATTACACTGTAGTCCGAGAACTGTAAAATGTGAGGACTTGTTTAGTTCAACATGAGATCAAACTTGTAAATATTCTGATTACATGTGAGAGAATATGTGTATACTATAGATGTTAGATACATGTTCTCTACATGTCAATTAGTTCAATTTTGTTGATTATCTTGTTTCAAATATTTTATATCTTTATTGATTTTTGTTTGCTTTGTCTATCAGCTATTGAAAGGTTATATGGAAATTTCCCACTACAATTGTGAATTTGTTTATTTTTCCTTATTATTCTGTCAATTTTGCTTATATACTTCGCATTTGTACTTTTAGCTTCCCTGTATATGACATACACATTCACGGTAAATTAAGGATTTTATTATCATGAAATGTTCCTTTTTATCTCTAATAATGCTTCTTACCTTAAAGTCTAATTTTTCTGATATTAATGGAGCTATAACAACTTTCTTTTGGTTAGAGTTTATATGTTTCATCTTTTTCCACTGTTACTCTTTTATTTTTTTCAATGCCTTTATGTCTTTGATGATTCTCTTATACATAGCACATAACTGCTTTATTTAAAATCCAATCCAGCAATCTTTGTGTTTTAATTTAGGGCATCTTAGAGATGCCAATTTTATGTTTTACATTTTGCTTTAATCCTGAATAAGCAGAGGGCTTTAGTGGAAAAACTGCCTGGTTGTCTCCTTGTCTCTCCATTTTCTTTTCCTAGCTCTTGATCCTGTAATTCTTCATTATATTGCAAGCAGATTTTTAAAAATTGGGTATCTTTTGTAGCTGTTGTCAGTAGTGGTGTTTATCAGTATTACAGTATTTATTTCTGGAAATAGAAGACCTGCTTTTTAAAAAATATAACATTGTATATCACAGGATGGGAACAATAGTAGTATTACTTTTAAAGGGTTAGTTCCATTCATGTTTTTCTCTTTCATTCCCAGACAGCAATATAGAAGTTCTAGAACATATCCCAGTCTAAAGTCACTTCCATGTTGAGTGCCATAATCATATCAGTCTTGCTCTCACTCCCCAAGTGCCTTAGATTTTACCTTGCCAGTGTTCCTATGTCTTAAGTCACCATCCCTTCCAGAACTGGACTTATGGATTTGTGTTCATCAATGGACGGAACCTTGGGCGATATTGGAATGTTGGGCCTCAGAAAACACTTTACCTTCCTGGTACCTGGCTTCATCCAGAAGACAATGAGGTGCGTAATCCCAGCTTCTACTTCGAGATCTCATAAAATTTCAGATCGAAATGCAAATTGCAGCATCTTTCCCCTCCTGTACTGAATAGGCTTCACCTTCTTACTGTCAACCTCTCTTTTCTTCCCAGATCATCCTGTTTGAAAAGACGATGAAAGGCTCAGACATCCAATCTATAGCCTAGCCCAAGCTGAAAAACTGTCTTTTAACACATTTCCTGCATTGTTGGAGTTCATTTATAAGTTGATTTTGAGGAAGAAGATTTATGTGAAGACCATCAAACACAGTATTGCTTACAATAGCAAAAATGTGAAAACCTAAACAATCAACAGATGAATTGTTAT